TCGTATTATTCATCTGCTTTTATCCTTCATTTCCACCTTTATTTTTCGTGTTCTCCTTGATATACATACTAACATAATTCCACCTTTCATGAAACAGGCAGAATGATAATAACTGAACTACAATATCTGATCTCTTGTTTTTCACTTTCAGAAAAGTAAAAAAGTCAGGTAAATATATTTAATTTTTGGTTTTGTTTTGATTTGGTTATTTTGTTAGGAAAAACCTAAGCTAAATTACACGTTTTCTTTGGGTTTGAGCCTCAAGGTATTGTGTACATGACTCGTTTATTTAATATAACTAACTAAATACGAAAATAACCCCCCCCCCAAAAAAAAAAAATGAAAAAAAAAAATAAAAATGAAAAATCTTAGAAAGGTAAAATTCCTCCCATCATGTTTTGGATATTTTTGAGTTAAGAAATAAATTTTACTTTACATAAAATTTCCATATTATTAATGTGTATTCAGGTGTATATTAATTCTCTCTCTCTCTCTCTCTCTCTGCAGGAAACTCCCGGAAGAGCCTCAACATCTTCACCGCACAGTCCAACTACACACCGTCTGCCCCGGGTGCCCTCTCCTTCTGCAAGCACGACAAGATTGAGGTGCTGGAGGAGAGAAACGCGAGCTGGGTGAAGGGACGTATCGTGGGCACCTTCCTCGAGGGACTTGTTCCCAGGTCCTTCCTCTCCAGGGAACCGAACATTGACACGGCTCCGTAGGTCTCCTCTGTGTCTTGTAGGATGTCAGTTTCTTAGGGTCCTTATGTGTAGGAAAAAGTGGTGGGTTGTGATGTGTCTGTGGGAGGAGGTGCTGCTTGGGAGGGGTACTGGATAGAGGTACTGGGAGGAGATACTGCATAAAATTATTGCTTGGAGGTACTGAAAGGAAGGGATTAGGGGTACTCGATGTAGGTACTGACGAAGTTGTGTGTGTGTGCATTACAGGTGGTACTTTGGGCCTACCAGCAGGGAGAAGGCTGAGGCGCTCCTTTATTCATGCCATAACCAGATCGGCAGCTTCATCATCAGGGACTCCACCAAGGCCACTTCAGGATACACCCTCTCAGGTGAGTGAATGTTGTTCCTCTCTCTCTCTCTCTCTCTCTCTCTCTCTCTCTCTCTCTCTCTCTCTCTGTACTTGCACACGTCTATCATGAAGCATTGTACACTCTCTTCACAGTGCTGTCTGAGGCTGAGGTGAAGCACTACTTGATAAGCCTGAATGAATCCGGTCGAGTGTTCATCTCTAGCTTGTTCACGTTCTCCTCTGTAATCGATCTGGTGCAACACTACTCGACCTACGACGACGGCCTGTGTACCACCTTGAGTCAGCCTTGTATGGTAGGTGGATAGGGAGGGTGGAAGGAAGGGAGGGTGGAAGGGAGGGAAGGATGAAGGGAGGGAAGTAGGAGAGTGGGTAGGGAAGTAGAGACTAGGAGGGGGAAGAACGTAATTAGGTAGGTAGGGGGGGGATGAAAGTAACCAGCAGTAGGTAAGAAGATAGGTAGGTAGGTAGATGGGGGGGATGAAAGTAACTAGCAGGTAAGTAAGAAGATAGGTAGGTAGGTAGATGGGGGGGATGAAAGTAACTAGCAGGTAGTGGTAGGAAGATAGGTAGGTACAGGTGTAAGTAAGGAGTATATGTCTTACTTTACATTCATGAAATACTTTCCATCATCTCTCTCTCATCTACCTCCCTCTCATCTACCCTCCCTCCTACCCCACTCTTACTAACTCTAACCCAACCTCTCACCACCCTCTCCTACCCCATCAGAGGACCCCAGAGGACGCAGGAATGGGTGACCAGTGGGAGATCGACCGACAGTGGGTGGTGCCTACTGGAGAGGTTATGGGGGATGGTCAGTTCGGTCATGTGTTCAAGGCGTTTTGGAAGAATACCATCTATGTCGCCGTCAAACAGATGAAAGATGGTAGGTGGTGTCTGGTGGGTGTTAGGGGTGTGATAGAGGGGTGTTAGGTGGGTGTTAGATGGGTGGTGGGTGGGTGTCGGGGGTGTTTGGTGGGTGTTAGGGGGTGTTAGGTGGGTGGTGTAGGGGTGTTAGGTGTGGGTGGTAGGGGGGTGTCAGGGGTGTTAGGTGGGTGGTAGGGGTGTTAGGTGGATGGTAGAGGGGTGTCATGGGTGTTAGGTGGGTGGGTGGTAAGGGGTGTTAAGGGGTGTTAGGTGGGTGGTAGAGGGGTGTCATGGGTGTTAGGCGGGTGTTAGGTGAGTGTCAGTGGGGGTGTCAGATGGTTGTAAGGTGGAGTGTCACTTGGATGCATTGGAAGTGTCACCGGGATGTCAGTGGAGTGTCAGGTGGATGTCAGGTGGATGTCAGCGGGTAGTGTAGCTGGCTGGACGTCATATAAACAAACAATCCCCCTCACCTTGGGCTCCCTCAGATTGCCTGAATGTAAAGGAGTTCTACCGTGAAGCTGAAACCCTACAGCGCCTTCGTCACCCTCGCCTGGTGAAGCTCTTCGGGTTGTGCACCAAGCCGATCGGTCAGCCTCTTCTTATCGTCACGGAGCTGCTGGAAGATTCACTTCATCATCACCTCCGTAAACTTTATGGTGAGTCATGTCTTTCTGACCTTTATCTGACCTTAAGAGCTCTTGGTGACCTTGAGGATGTCTTGGTGACTTTAAGGTTACCTTGGTGACCTTGAGGTTGTCTTGGTAACCTTCGACGTGTCTTTGGTGACCTTAAAACTCTCCTCGTGACCTTCTTGAACTTTACAGATGAGGGCAAACCACTTCCATCCAAATCCCTGGTCCATGTGGGGTTGCAGGTGGCCCAGGGAATGGCCTACTTGGAGGGGGAGAAGGTCATCCACCGTGATCTGGCGTCTCGTAATATCCTGATGGCCAGGAACTTGCAGGTGAAGATTGCTGATTTCGGTCTGGCCAGGTTCATTAAGGTAAGCTACTGTAGGTAAGTCACTTAACGATAATGATAATGAAGGTAATAATAATAATAATAATAACCCACCCCGTATTAAAAGATATCATCATACCTGACAGGACAACTTCTACCTACTCAAGTCTGACGTCAAGTTCCCTGTTAAGTGGACTGCTCCAGAAGCTCTCATCCACAACCAGTACACCAGCAAGAGTGACATCTGGTCCTATGGCATCCTGCTGTACGAGATCTTCACTCACGGAGGAAACCCCTACCCAGGTGAGGCAGACTCTCTCTCTCTCGTTGATTAGCTCGCGTTTGTATCTCATCTCTGTGTAGTCAAGTTTGTTTATGTCTGCATCAGGAGTTTGTGTCAGCCCCTCGACCTATACTCATAATTGTTTAATTGTTCAGTTAGAAAGAAGTTGTTTCTAAATGACCAATCAAGTTCAAGGCATGATTTGTGTTATCATTCACCTCTAGTGATTAATTGTCTGATAAGATACGTACTAGACTCCTCCGGGGAAGTTAATAGTCCTTTCTAATATTGTTATACACAGCTAAGTTAAAATGATTTAGATATTTTGATTTTGTTCAGTTTTCATTATGGATTGTAGAAAATGTTCTTCATATACTGTTCATGGTAACTTAAGGTCGAACAGCGTAGGAAGAACAGTGTTGTCTTTCTGGTGAGGAAATCTAACACCAACAAAGGTGGCGGAGGAACGAATCATCGTCATACTCTTGTTCAAAAGCCAAATACTATCTCACCGATGAGTTGCTAAAGAATTTAATCAACACCAAGCTATAATCAAAGATTTCCCCATGAAAAGAAAAAAGGAAGAAAAATTAAAAGAATATTAATTTTGTTATGGTGCGTGACCGTCGTTTGATGTCTGGAATGTTAAGATGAGTTAAACTCTGGTGACCTTGTTAACTATCTCTTACTTACAGTGACCTCGTGACCCTTTCACCTCTTGACCCCTGACTCTTCCCTGCTGCAAATTGTAACTTTGCTTCCACACATTTCAAAGTTGACGCCAATGTTCTTTCAATTATTTTCGAATTTTCTGAAAAAATGTCCGTTTCATAGACACCACACTCTGTAAAAATGTACAATTTAATTTTCATATTGATTTAGAAACAACGATACAAGTACAGGTACAGATATACATAAAATACAGTGTATGGTGTTATCACGTAAACAAAGTTCATATTGCTGTCACTCACTAACTCTGCCACCTGTCAGAGTTACCGCTGCCCTGGCGAGAGGAGAGAACTTATGAAGTGTATGTGCCAACAGGTGTCAAGGGGCGGGAAGTCCCAGACTACCTCCGGGACGGACATCTGAACCGCCAACCTCCTAAATGTCCCGACATGGTGTATACAGTCATGAAGGATTGTTGGGAGTGGAATCCTTTCAACCGACCATCCTTCAAGGACCTGAAAGTCACTATGTCACTGATCAAGGACACGCTCTAGAGGACGGCCGAGATGTTTGTTCCTGCATGACCGTTCACATCTTGGTGTTTCCACGGACCACCTGTAGTCTCCTAGCGAAGACTCACGAGCTATGAGCCAAGCCCCGTCAGCCTCTGGGAGTGTGTTGACATACTATAGTGTGTTTCCTGACAACATGGTTTTTATATCCCGGTCTTGAAAAATATTATAGTCACCGAGGAAGCTGTATGGTTGGCTGGACGCTGGGGAGACATTGTGTTTACGGGGAGCACCGACCATCACTCCAGGACTGATATAACAAGCAACACGTGGCTCCTATTACTGTCTCGGATACATTAATTAATTAGGCTAAATAATTATTTCATGGCGTGAAATTTAAAATATAATCAAGACGTAATTAAAAATAAAACAGTAAATCATTTAGTGGTGTTTGACGGCCTTTATGGTTAGGTCAGGCCAGGTCAGGTCATGTCATGTCATCATACACAAGGAGAATCACAAACATACGTTGACTTTACCTGTGCTCGCCAGCTCTATTTTAGCCTTCCCTGAGTTACTGATCCACTGAGAACACGTGTTACTCCCAAACCCTGGACCCGCTCTTCGCCCCGAACCCCACCAGGCATTCCTCACTACTGTAACATCATCTTTCTACCACCCTTAATTTTTTTTTATCTCTACTCGTCAGACATAAACAAAGTACTTTCATTAGGCAAAGCAAACTGAGACCAGATAACGAGCAACACTCAGAAACGTTTATTGTCTCTGTGAAAACCATCCTGACAAACGTTTATCTCTCTTATCATGGAAATAAAATACATACATCAGTCAGATCAAGAAAAGCTGTGAGAAAATTTTTTTTTGCCAAATAAAGACACGTTGTTGATGTCATCACTGTAGCCTTCATGACTAGTGTATTAACCTGGTGATTAATGTACACTAACTAAATTATGAATTACTTGAGTGTTATAACTTAACTATATATTTTTTTATTAAACTTTTATATCTTTTATATACTTTGATAGTCTCTAGTCTTAACTACATAATACCCCAAATTCGGATTACCTGAAGACTATACCTGTAACTGCCTTAGTAGTATTTTACCTGCTAATTAAACACACAAGCGCTACCTGGGAGATTAAGTTAGGTTAGGTGAGGTTAGGTGAGGTTAGGTTTGGTTTGGTTAGGTTAGGTTAGGATGGTTACTCTTATGGTTGAATAAACTGAGGTTGGAGCTAATCATCAGGTTATTTCAAAGTTCTATAAAGTGTTCTTCATCTCAGAACGCCTGGAGAACAGATAACATTTCCTTAGTTTTTTAGTGTATAAACTGTATAATGTATGAATTGTATAAGTGTATAATGACTAAAAATCCCCAATAAACTTGACAATGTAATCGTTAAATAAATTTACTTAATATAAATATAAAGGAGAATATAATTAGGTGAATAAATCCTTCCTCCAGGATTTATTGGTTAATTTCCTACAATAACTGAGGTGTACAAGTTTAGATCTATTTCTCTATTTATTTATTTGTTCACTTGTCTAGTTACCTCTACAGCATTTTATCCATCTATCTACCTATCTATCTACAACTATCTTTCTGTTCTCTCTCTCTCTCTCTCTCTCTCTCTCTCTCTCTCTCTGTAGTTATTATAAAGAAGAAATGTTAAATGTGATTCCACACTTGAAGAATTTAGGAGAAAATAATGAACGACCCTTCATTATGGTTAGCGCGTGTGTGTGTGTGTGTGTAATTGTTTATATATTCCGGAAAAGTCTGAGGGTTAGACCATGCCCCAGTAATTCAAAATGAAAACAATGGATAAACTCAAATAGGATTTAAGGAAGCTCATAATTGGTGCCGTTGAATTCTACAATAGAAAACTTGTCTTTATACCTGTAAAACAATTAGGGAAGGAAAATACTCTCTTTATTTACATTTTCTTCATATTTTATTAACATTATTATTATATATCACTGTCATTGTTATTATTATTATCAGCAGTAATAATAGTAGTAGAACTAGTAATAGTAATTGTAGTAAAGATAATAATAATGGCTGGCTAATAGTGTCACCCAGAACAGTAAATGACTTCAGCCTTAACAAACAAGACTTCACAGACGCCATTGCTCGACGGTATGGTTAGCCAGAGGAAAGCATAACCACCCATGTGTGCTGAACGTCATACAACACCAACCACGATGATGTAAAGGACCTCACAGTGAGTATGCTGAAGGAGATATGCCGAGACGTCACTGTGGAACCGACCTTCCTCCCTGGCAACACAACCAACGAAGCTCTGTGGACGTCAACGCTCGAGGATTCTGGACGATGGAGCAGCGGGCCTTTGTTGACATCAGAATATTCAATCCCATGGTTGGATTAATATGGTGGAGAAGGTATGGACTGAGAGGAGGTTGAAGGCCATAATAAAAAAGTAGTCGTAATAGTCGTAGTAATAGTTCTAGTAGTAATTGTAGTAGTAATTAGAAAATAAGGGGTGAAATAAAGTAGAATAGAAAAACACATCATAACATCACTTCCTAATAAACCTTTACAAAAGTTTTAAAATTTGGTAATAATAAGAAGACATTAATTTTATCTTTCTACCTCATTCCCATATCAAAACAACTCGTGTGTCTCATCATTCCTGTTCCCTCGCCCTCTGTCACTAACACTGCATTACTATCAGTTCCTCTTCTCTTCCCATCATTGTTTTTCCCATCATTACCACAGTTTTACTCTACCACGTTCCTTACAGACCATTGTAAACCACTTTGAGTCACTAGACATCTCTCAGTAGCGTCAACCTTCATAATCTTAACATTATTCAGAAACGGTGTCAGATGTGATGGTTATGTAAGGATTCTGAATGTGTGGTGTAAGTGTTCTGCGTCAAGTGGATGGCGGGAGTTTTAAAGAGTCGATATTAACTGGTTCAACTACAAGTGCCTCCAATTTTGTTTGTAGGGTAGACGAATGCGCTGAGGTCAATGAACGACGAGAGAAGGGTCCCAGAGGTTCGTTGACGTGTGGTTCGTTTATTTCTATTGGTCCTTGAACCCTGGAAGACTTCCTATACGAGATCCATCGCCATTTGGTTTATCGTCTTCTGTAAGTCACTGAACCCCGAGAGGATCTCAGTAGTTGGCCATCAGTTCAGTCATCTCCTCCTTCAGGTCGACGAACCTCGGGCGGGCTTCGGGGTTCTCCATCCAGCACCTGAACATGAGGCTGTAGACTCCTTGGGGACACCCTTCAGGTTCAGGGAGTCGGTAACCTTGTCGCACCATCATTAGCATCGTTTGGTTGTTCATATCTGTGGGAGGAAATAATAGTGATAGATGTGGTTGCGGTGGTTGTGATGGTGACAGTGGCTAACGATGGTGGTAGGACTAGAAATGGTGGCAGTGACTGGAGATGAAAGAAGGCATAGTAGAAGCAGTGGATAGCTGATGAGAGAAGAGGAGGGGTTGGTGGCGGAATAATATTAAAAAACAGGTGGTTAGGTTGAAGACAGCCCCTGTATTCACCTGAGTAAAGGAATAAGACCCTTAGAAAGTCCCTTAGACAGGAGAACGAGGTCCCTGAGGGCAAGAGCTCACCTGAATAGGGCTTTAAGTTACAGAAACTCACCTGCGTAAGGCATTTGGCCATGAGTGACTATTTCGAATAGGAGTATACCAAAAGACCAGACGTCGGACTTGTTGGTGAAGTGACCGTAATCGATGGCCTCCGGAGCCGTCCACTTAAAGGGGACCTTGTTTCTGGTGCTCTGTTGGTAGATGTCCTCCTGCGGGAGACACACAGAGGTCCTGGTTACTGATGAAGAGATAAAGAGATCCTCATAAAAAATTCGTTTTGTTATCCATATCACTTCTCTGTTTCTACTTACATCTCTCTCTCTCTCTCTCTCTCTCTCTCTCTCTCTCTCTCTCACCTACCTTGATGACCCTAGCCAGCCCAAAGTCGGCAATCTTCACGTTTATACCCTCCCCGATAAGCACGTTCCTCGCTGCCAGGTCTCGGTGGACGAACTTTTGATTCTCTAGGTACTGCATCCCCGAGGCTACCTGAATACCCATATTAATCAAGTCTCGGCTGGGGTGCAGTAGTCGCTCCTCTGTATAGATGGAAGTGAATTATTAATGAGGGACCCTGGGTGAAGAGACGACGTACCTTCCCATGAGATAGATGTACAAGATAATTATAACAAGAACAGGTAATATATTATTAATCTTGAGACTTGTTAATGATCTTAATGATGGAAGTTAATTAACCTGCTAACACCTATGAGATGAAACACCTACATCTTCAGGTTTTGATAAGAAAGAGATAGAAACACCGGCATTGACTTACGCAACATCTTACATGCAATACCACTAACGCATGATTCCTCAATGAGTGGTATAACTGCTAAGTGTCTTACAGAGGTCACATTGTTAGAGTCAATTAGAGGTCAAATGAGAGAGAGAGGGAGGGAGGGAAGATAGATAGATAGATAGATAGAGACAATAAGTGTAAAGAGAGAAAGAAAAGGGAAGAATAAAGGTAGGAAATGGAGAAAGTGATAGTATCTATATCTCACCTCCCCTCACTCTTCTCTCCCCTCCCCCTCCTCCTACACCTCCTCTATACCCATAACCTCCTCCTCCTTATCATCTTCGTCCTTTTCCTCTCCTCCTCCTGCTCCTCCTCTTTCTACTCACTCTTCCGGTTCCTGAGGTGCTGCAACAGGGCGCCATTCTTCACCAGTTCGGCCACAATAAGAAGGGGCTGCTCCTTCGGATGAGTACAAATGCCGTATAGCTTAACAAGACGCGGATGGCGGAGCTTCTGCATGATCTCTGCTTCTCTGAGGAACTCGTTTACCTCCATGCAGTCTGTGGTTGGTGGAAGAAAGAGCGAGGTTAATGATAATTGGGAGAGAGAGGGTTAGAGATAGAAAAATAGATGGAAGGAGATGGAGAAGGGGATGGTTAATGAGGGAGAGAGAGAGAGAGTAAAGGTTTTAATGTTAAAAATAAGAAATGACTACGTTCTCTTGTTTGTATACATTTAAATATTTTACTCTCTCTCTCTCTCTCTCTCTCTCTCTCTCTCTCTCTCTCTACCTACCTGGCTTCATAGATTTCACAGCAACATCCAGCTGTTTGTTCCAGCGGGCCTGCCAGACGTCACCAAACTGACCACTGCCTATTTTTCCTCCCAGCTGGATGGTCGAGCGGTCGATCTCCCACTGCTGGTGAGAAGAACTTGCCTCCGTCACCGTCTCCGCCACTGCCTGCGTCCCCATCACTGCCTGCGTCCCCATCACTGCCTGCGTCCCCGTCACTGCCTGCGTCCCCATCACTGCCTGCGTCCCCATCACTGCCTGCGTCTGGGGCGCTTCATTACTGTCCCGCTAGGAGTAAATTAAACCTTGAGTTTGTAAAGTAAGGAAGGAAGATTCGACTGTACTTGCTGAAGAGAATTTAATTATGTTTTTATATTATCCCGTTTATGTTGTTTATACTAAGATTTAATAAGGATTTTTAACAATCATTACAGTAAAGGTGATGGAGACTTTAACATTTATAATAACATTTCACCCCCTCCCCCCCACCTTGCAGGGTTGGCCGAGGTGTATACAGAGTCCGTCATTGGTCCGGTAATGCTCAATCAACTGTGTGATGGAAGGGAAGCGCTTTTCACCAGATATGAAGTACGTCTCCGGGGGGCCATCCTGTTGCCTCACCCTGTAGTGCTTCACCGCGGCCAAATATAACACTGGAGAGGTAAATATTATGGTAAATAGAGATGATGTAACAGTGAAGACCCGGGGGAAGGGGCGGGGGGAAGGGGTTGGGATAATGGGTTCTCTGATCTGTTTACTAATGAGTGGTTAAACTATATTCCTGTGTGTAGTGATGGTCCTTTACTAACTTGTGAGACTATTAACATGTGCCGTAACCTCTATTCGATCCTACCATATCCACCCCACCTCGCTAACCAACCCATAATACTCCCCTATATCCACCTTCACTATATTCACCCCACCTCGCTAACCAACCTCTAACACTCCCTTCTACCCACCCTCACCATTTCCACCCCACCATATCCACCCCACCTCGGTAATCTCCCCCAACTCTCCCCATTCTTGCCTCGCAGTCTGTAAACAACCTTGCTATCAGGACAGGGAAATCCTCACTAAACCCGCCTCTCTCCAACCATCCTCCCTCACTTTTAATCTCCAGCACTCGCTCCTCCTCCAACACTCGCTCCTCCTCCAACACTCACTCCTCCTCCAACACTCGCGCCTCCTCCAACATTCGCTCCTCCTCCAACACTCACTCCTCCTCCAACACTCGCGCCTCCTCCAACACTCGCTCCTCCTCCAACACCCCCGGATTGCTAAGAACACTGTAAAATGGATTTTTAAATAGAGTTGTAAATGTCATCTGTGAGCTAAGTTTGTGAAATAGAATTGTGAGCAGCAAAGCGTCACAAGCCAAAACATTATTGTTGTTGTTATTGTTGTCCTTGTTCTTGTTGTCCTTGTTCTTGTTGTCCTTGTTCTTGTTTGTCTCTTTGATTTTTAAACGTTAACTCTTCTGTTAAACATCATTAAAATATTTTTTCTATACTTGCTATTGATGTTTATATTTTCTCATCCACCCACACACACACACACACACACACACACACACACACACACACACGCGCGCGCACACAAAGATAAGAGGAATTAATATATTACTTATATCTATTTACTGAATTAGAATCATTACTATTAATTGCGTATAATATTTTCCTTCCATTTACCTGAGGGGACAGTAACCCCATCCCACTCACCTGAGAGGGAGTAGCCGGTGGAGCTCTCTGCGTTGCGGACAAGGAAAGAGCCGTTGGCGTTGTAAATTTTCAACAGGAGGACCTGTGCCTCCTGCCGCGTCAGGCCACCGAAGTACCACCTGTTGAAGCCATCTGGCTATAGTTAAATCATCTGTCAACACCATCTGGTTGCATTTTGATCACCTAGTTGGATGCAAACAACTCTTTGGGTCACTTGGCTGTGTAAATATCACCGCTAAACCACCTGTGATCCCTCCTGGCTCTTGTTAAGCCACCTGATTAAAGGTACCCATCCGATTGCAATTAATTACATCGCGGACAAAACCGTTCTTGCAACGCACACCACTCATAACGTTAACTCCTCCCTCCCCCTTCTGCCTCACTCTCTCTTCACCCTCTCACCCTCTATGTCTACCCCCCCCCCTCCTCTCTTCCCTCCCTCCCTCCCTCCAGTACCGTCCTCACCCCATAAACACAGCTCTTTGATATGCGAGAAATTCAGATAAGATAGCAACTGTACTCAAGGCCTATTACTCAGCGTCTGAACTCAGTGAGCGTCTGTGTTAGCAACTGTACTCATCTCACACGTCGGTACAAATTAACGAGATATGTTCTTCTGTAATACATGTCAAATACAGATTGACACAAAAACAAATATATTTCTCACACATGTAAACAAAACATACTTGATCCTTACAGCTGTACACACACACACACACACACACACACACACACACACACACACACACACACACGTAAACAAAAAACAGCTGATTCTCACGGTTGATCATAGAGGTCTCCGATTTTGGCTATGTACTTAGTAGGGACGTAACCCTCAAGGACGGAGGCGCCTCTCTTTAGCCTGACCCAGGACCAGTTGTCGTCGGGATGGAACACAACCTCAAACATCTCGTTTTTCCTGAAGGCGACGTGATCGTTCTCTGTCGTGTTGTAGTCGTAGAGCGCGATGTACTTGTTGGCGTTGTTGGTAGTAGTGGTGATGGTAGTGGTGGTAGTGTTGGTGGTAGTTGAGTTTATACTGGGTGGTGGTGGTGGTGGCAGGCCATTAGCTTCCTGGTCTGAGTTGTCACGGAGTAAAACGTATTTGTAGGAATGAGGCAAATTTATCACAAAGGGAATTTTTGTAAGAGTCAAAATTTCTCAATGGCTAATCGACAATATTTACTTCATATATCAATAACTATAATCAAATAATGATAAAAACTTACTTCCATTCTCAATGCTACTGAAAAAAAAATATATTAGTTGAAATTATTAGTAACTGAATTGCCATCAAAATCGTAACAATAAATAGTAAATATTTAAAAAGTCTTTGTCATACTTGTGTCGGAGTCATTACATATAATATATATATAGAAGAGAATATATGACCCTCCTTTGCCATGATTATTGCATCGTCACTCCCCCCCACACACACACATATACCTCTCCCTCCCCCACACCACCCCCCACACCCACTTGTATTGAATGACTTCGAGTTTCTTGATGAAGTTGGAAGGTATGTAACCCTTCTGGCTTGTCCTTATGTTCACAGCCTCCCACCACCCATTGGCATCCTTCTGACCCACGATCTCCAGCACGTCCCCCTCAGAGAAGGTCAGGTCACCGTCCCTATCCGCCTCATAGGTATACAAGGCCTCGAATATTTCCGCATCTGTGAGAGAAAGAGAAGAGGAAAGGAGATAAATGGAGGTAGAGTGACGGTAAATAAAGGAGTGACAATATGATGATAGGTAAGAAAAAGAATTGGGGAGAAAGTGAAGGATAGAGATAGAGAGGTAAAGAAGTAAATAAAGAGAGAGAGAAGATTGATGAATAGAGAACGATAGATAGATCAAATAAACCAACAGTAGTTTTTTCAACAGGTAGTCATTGGATTTCTTTTGTTGTTGTTGTTGTTGTTTACCTGTTGTGTTATGGTTAGAGACTGTGGGGCTTTTTTATCGGTCTCCCAGTTCGAATCACCCTTTGAGGAGCTTCATATCTCGGTCTGTTACGACACCATACAAGCTTCACTGATTCACTAACAGTATATATGAGGAGTTAGATCCATCCCTTTACACCTGTCTGCAACCTAACGTAACCTAACCTAATCTAACCCGGTGCTCGAAGGTTAAATTCTGTATATATATATATATATATATATATATATATATATATATATATATATATATATATATATATATATATATATATATATATATATATATCACTGTATTACTATGAAAATCAATTCTTATCACCGTACACCTGTACCACCATACACCTGTACCACCATACACCTGTACCACCTGCACACCTGTACCACACACACCTGTACCACCGCACACCTGTACCACACACCTGTACCACCACACACCTGTACCACCGCACACCTGTACCACCACACACCTGTACCACCACACACCTGTACCACCACACACCTGTACCACCGCACATCTGTACCACCACACACCTGTACCACCACACACCTGTACCACCACACACCTGTACCACCACACACCTGTACCACCGCACATCTGTATTTATCAACTGACGCCATCATTCTAGCCTTAAGAAACATGCACGAACAGAACACCATATGGAGGGCTTGGTCAAGTGACGTCACAGATAAACACGAGGCCAGTACTCAGTGGGTGGAAAGATAACGATGATAACTGCTGGTACTAACTCTAAAGGGGGAGGAGGAGGAGGAGAGGGTAGAGGAAGGAAGACGAAAAACTGGAGAGTGAAATTAGTACAAGGATTCTGTTCAATGTAGGTTAGGTTAGGTTAGGTTAGTGTGAAATAATGTGGGGGTGGTTAAGTTTCAGGTGATCCAAGATACAATGAATCAGGGGCACTGGTGGTAGAGCGGTACCGATCTTTCCTCGCAAGTAAGGTGTCACGGGTTCGATTCCCGGGCCGGCAGCAGTTGTTTGGACACTCTTCCTAGTCCCCTTGGTCCCTGTTCACCTAGCAGCAAAGTAGGTACCTGCTGTAAAGCGAAAGTTGTGAATTCGTATTCAGGGAAAGTTGTTGGAGCTTCCAATAACTTGATGACATACACCATTGACTCTTCAGGCTTCTACGCCCTTAACTCATGAGACATAAAGGCAAGCATGAACTTAGCATGCTTCCCTGTTGGGCGCTGTAAACGCTTCTGCGCCTCACCTTACACAAGGATGTAGGGGAGTGATAAAAAATACACTAAGTCCACCTACCTTCTTTGTTTTGTTTGTTGATTTTGAATTTCTTGATCTTCTTCAATAAGGCCATCTTGGTGGTGGCTGTCAGGGGCTGTTGAAAGCTGTTGAGAGCTGTTTTTGGTCTCATCTAACTTCAACCAAGTCTACATAACAGCAGCATCCATCAACATCCAACATTCTAGGTCAGTAAACATCCAAGATCAACATACAGTTTTTCTCAGATGTTGAACTCGTCTCCTGTGACCTTCAGAACGTAAACACATTAATTTTTCTTCTCTGTATAACGAAACAAGCACAACGTAAACCTAACCTAACCCCCCAAAAAAGGAAATTTGTACGGCCATGATCCCCCCCAACGCACACACACACACACCTGCAAACACGTCATACACCGGTCCAGGAAACAAGAGAACGCTCCCTTGCTGGCACTACATACAGTAGTTCCTCAGAGTTCACCGTAGTGTCGTAGGATCTCAGTACCTGTGAGACACTTTAATACTGTTCCTTCACTCACACGGACTGATCCCTTCTGTCTACTCCTTAACCACTGGCGGCTGCCGATCTAGTACGTGTACGAACTTCTGAGAAATGTGTGTTATCTGTACTGTATGATAAATGTGGATAACAATTGCAGTCACTATCACTTACGTACAACAATAGTAGGTTCGTTATCGTCTAAAGATAACAACATGCAAGTCCGGTATTGGTTCACTGATATCAGGTTGGGGTGTTTTTTTAGGGGGTTGGGGGGGGGGGGAGTCATGTTGGGCTGCTGGGTACCAAGGTCACTCAAGGATCAAGGAGGGGTGAGTGTTGACCTTCCAAGTATAGGTAGTAATCTTTTCCATGTGTTGGGAGATCATTTGAAGGTTAACGACCCTAAGATAACCTAACCTAACCATTTCAGGTAATATTAGGGTGGTTAAGCTTCAGGTTAAATAAACTGTGGTGTTTAATCCTTATGTGACCCATGTTATGTACTGTACAGTTGGGGACAAATGAACCTGTTAAACGCTAATTAACTGGCTGGTGGTACTTGGTAACCCATTCGTAGTAAGGTGTGAAATTTTATTAATAACTCGTCCATATGTAACGATGATTGTGATTGGTTAACATATGTTTGCACGTAAATACAATTTATTAAGAATTAAGTATTGTGCAAATATCCTTAAAATAATTACTGTTACTAGAGACTCACGAAACGTTATTCTTCAAAGTGTGATTGAAATTATTATTAAATAGGAGCCACAGACTAGGCCAGCACTGTAATGCCAAGTTTACTACATGGTACTAAGGCCATAGGTTTGAGAAACTAAGCGTGAATGAAATATTTTAATTGATCTATGGTAAGCCAAAGGTGCTCAACGAACGAGCCTTGGTTGTCTTATTTTGTGATGAAACATTTTATTTCGAAATTCGTGGAGTATTAAATGTGGTGTAGGTCATTTAAACAAAACACTCCCTTTTGACTAGAGTCCCTAGATTATAAGCATAAATCTAGTGTTGCCCCTTACCCTAGTTCAGCGCTCAGCTATTTTACATAATGGTCAGGAATATCTGTGTGTGGAGATCAAAACACAAAAACTCTGGACTTGATGGAGAGAAATACAACATGAAGCAGGTTACGGGTTTCTGCCTCCTCTTCTGTGTTGTACAGGTGGGTGAGGCAGCAGGGTAATGACTTTCCGTCTTTGAAGTCTCCAGCCAATTCCAGAACCTGGCCGGATACAAGACTTACAGGCGATGCTTCACACCATGTTCTACACATAAAAGAGGTCAATAATGTTTTGTTCTTAGAGCCCATGAAGCGTTTCCAGGGCAAGGGAGCTTGCCCCCCGTGGATGCATATGTCAGTGCAGATCTTCTATTTGACGTCTTGCTCTTCCAAATCTCTTAACAGGTGAAAGAAAACACCAACACGGAAGCTCCGTTCACCCTAAGAGGCTTCAAAACTAAGTTAAGCATCTTATCACTTAAGGAGAGATTTATGATTATCTAAAAAAAATCGAAAGTCTGTGAAAAGTTTCCAGACGTAGCTATTGCTTAATTAATATTTCTGGTTTTAGCCATAACCTTGTCATGTTCTTTTCACTTCCTGGAAATCCTGAAGTCCAGTCTTTTGCCACGTTGACTGGAGTTAATACACCTGCTGCTATGCTGTACTGTACATATTTCTTACCTGGTGTTATGCAAAAAGAATGATCATCTGACTATTGATTGTGAAGATAAGCTGTTTGACATTTTAAGAGAAAAAAAATTTAGGTGCCAAATGTTACTACAATTCTAAAGGCTCTGAGTCTGTCTGTCTGTCTGTCTGTCTGTCTGTATATGTGTAACGTGTTGTACAGGAAACTTAATTAAGCTCTTATGACCCACGTAATGTACTGTATAGTCACAGGTGAGTTGCTCAAATATGTTCATCAGTTCAAATTACCTGTCTTCCTCTCCCTACCACTCCCACACCCCCTCTCCTTCCTCTCCTTCCTCCCTACCACTCCCACACCCCCTCTCCTTCCTCCCTACCACTCCCACACCCCCTCTCCTTCCTCTCCCCTACCCTCACCCCTCCCCTACCACCCCCCTCTCCTTCCTCTCCCTTCCTCCCTACCACTCCCCACCCCTCTCCTTCCTCTCCCTACTCCCCTCCTCTCCTCCTCCCTACCCTCCCCCTCCCTCTCCTTCCCCACCTCCCTTCCTCCCTACCACTCCCACACCCCCTCTCCCTTCTCCTCCCCTCTCCCCTCCCCACCCCTCCCCACCCTCCCACCCCCTCTCCCTCTCCCCTCTCCCTTCCTCCCTTACCCTCCCCACCCCCTCCCCCCCTCTCCCTTCCTCCCTACCCTCCTTCCTCCCCCCTCCCACCCCCTCCTTCCTCTCCCTTCCTCCCTACCCTCCCACCCCCCTCTCCCTTCCCCTCCCCTCCACTCCCACTCCTTCCCCTTCCTCCCTACTCCCACCCCTCTCCTTCCTCCCTCCTCCCCTCCCCCCTTCCTTCCTCTCCTTCCTCCCTACCACTCCCACCCCTCTCCTTCCTCTTCCTTCCTCTCCCCACCTCCACCTCCCCCTCCACCCCCCCACCCCTCTCTTCCTCTTCCCACCCCCTCTCCTTCCTCCCCACCCTCCCACCCCCCCTCTCCTTCCTCCCTACCCTCCCACCCCTCTCCTTCCCTCTACCTCCTCTCCTTCCCTCCCCACCACTCCCCTACTCCCCCCCTCTCCTTCCTCCCACCCCACTCCCCCTCCTCCCCTCTCCTTCCCCTCCCCCCCTTCCTCCACTCCCTACCCTCCCTCTCCTTCCCTCACCCCCCCTCCTTCCTCCCCCTCTCTCCCTTCCTCCCTACCACTCCCCCTCCTCCTTCCTCCCTACCCTCCCACCCCTCTCCTTCCCTCTCCTTCCTTCCACTCCCCTACCCCTCTCCTTCCTCTACCACTTCTCCTTCCTCTCCCGCCCCTCCCACCACCCCTAACTGTCTCCCTCCCCACTCCCCTTCCTTACCACTCCAACCCTTCTCCTTCCTCTAACTTTACCATCTCTGACTCCCAGGTCTTTACGACTTCGTAAAACGTAATTAATCGTAATAAGTTGGTGAGACGAAAAAACTTCCACCCAGAAGTTTTATAGTAAATAATTTGACGGTGTATAGAACAAAGTGGTGTTGATGATGATGATGAAGACAAAGAGAAATAAACACAAAGATAAATCAAACTAAATAAACATAATAAAGAAAGCTTAACTCATCCATCGACAAGAATACACAAGATGATGGATGCTCTCTCTCTCTCTCTCTCTCTCTCTCTCTCTCTCTCTCTCTCTCTCTCTCTCTCTTTGATGGCTGCGTAATGGCTGAAGTCGTGGGCGGGTTGTAGCAGCCACAGGTAGGGAGAGGCGCTCACTTTTCTCTCGCTCTCACTTTCTCCTCACTCATCGCCGGGAGAGTGTGTATGTGTGTGTCATTCCCAGCCACCCCGTCACTACCACCCATCGACTCACTGCTCGCCACCCCGTCACTACCACCCATCGACTCACTGCTCGCCACCCCGTCACTACCCATCGACTCACTGCCACCCCGCCACCCCGTGCTACCACCCATCGACTCACTGCTCGCCACCCCGTCACTACCACCCATCGACTCACTGCTCGCCACCCAACATCAAGCTGACGTTGTTCCAGCTCGTCCACCAATCACAGAGACTTTCTTCCACCTCGTCCACCAATCACAGAGACGTTGTTCCAGCTCTGTCACCAATCAGAGAAACTTGTTGGAGATCTTCTGAAGGTTCATCTAAAGTTCTAAATATTCAAGACGTTCACAAAAGAAACGGATTTAAAGATCTCCTTGAACTTGGCCATCATCCTACTGGAACTTGATGAACTTTGAACACCTGTGACACCTGCCAAGATATACTTCAAGTTCCTTACAAGTTTACAAGTTAAACGTAAATACTTTTGAGGATTCTTTAGGTGAGTAATGTAGAGCTTGTTAGTGTATTGAGTTTGAAAAGTGTTAAGAGCTACTAATTACGTGTGTGTGTGATAATAATTAACCGTTTATTGAAAGACATGGCAGTCAAAAGGCTAAAAATACACACACACACACACACACACACACACACACACACATAATCTCTCTCCGGAAAAATACTTGAAACATAGAACAGTAATCTTAAGCCACTATAAGCTCTACAAGTAACTAATCCCCCTGTTGTTACTGAGATACATACACACAGGAGGAAGGTCTCGATTCTCACTGGCTAGCGAATCAGCCAATTAGAAGTTGTTTTGTATTCCCACTCGATACCTATTGTCCTGAACCACGAACCCTTGAGATTCAGACTCGTGAACCCGAAGCAGTAGACATTAATTCCTTATTCTGTCCATAAATGCTTCGGATTCATGGGTCCGAATCTCTTGGAGGGGGGGGTCGTGGTTCAGGAGGAGAGGTGACAGGGTGTTGTGGGTGACTGTACTTGTAAGACAACAGGGGACAGAATGACAGACAAACGTATACTGTAGATAGAAAAAGAGAGAAAGATGAGGAAAGAGGAGAAAACAAACAGAATAAGAGGAAAGCAATATAGAATGAGAGAGTAAAAGTGAGTGATAGAAATGTAGAGAAGAGAAAGAGACACAGACAGACAGAGACAAACAGGGACGAAAGATAGAACGGAGAGAGAGAGAGAGATAGAGAACGGAGAGAGACAGATAGAGAGGCTGCAAAGAGAGAAAGTAGGAAGAAGACATAGAGGAAAAACGAAACAACAGTACATGCAACTGTACGTACAAGTCCATCTAATTATCATATGTATAAGGGTATCAAGAGTGTAGAAGGTGTAAACCACATTAGATAGGTATTGTCCTCATAGAAAGGCCTTCTGTAACATTCTCCCAATTTAATATCCTTCCATATATCCAGTTTATACCCATAATATCAGGGAGATACAAGTACAAGATCGTGAAACGTAAATTAACTTAGATTCTGTAACCAAGGCGAGTCGTGCACCAAAGGGCAGTTGACACTTTGACGAGTAGCTCTTATACAGTCAAAATAGGGAGGATAGTGCTCGCTCTTATGTGATTTCCTTCACTGACT